TTTAGTCATTTTACACCAGTTTTTACCTAGAAGCATCACCCCCTAGTCTCTACCCATTCCCAGTGTCGTTTTGCTGCTTTAACTGGGTGACTGCTATTAAGATTTTCAGCATAACTATTTTTACAAATGAGTTTCCTTATTTCAGTCATATTTTTGCCTCATTTGGTGTCTGAATCCCTCCCAAGAAAAGACCATGTGAGAAGGTTAATGTAATTTTTATAGTGTATATTGATAAAACTCTTTAAGATGCTATCTCTTTGGAAGCTATGTCTATGAATAGGCTTACGGATTTTCAAGGATTGTGTATTTGACCCTCAGTGAAGAAATATCTTAATGTCTCCATTAAGGCCCCTGAGGAGCTATTATCAGAGTTGATTGGCCACTAATCTGAAGCTATTACATCAAATGATATTAATTCTATTTTGGGGGGCTTGAACAGACATGGGATCTACTTTACTGTAGTGCTTCCCTAAATTCTTATGAGCTCAATTATTCTCTTTAACTTCTTCAATACAAAGTTTTTTATTCACACAAGTGATATTTAATGTACCTCCATTGCATGTATAATTTCTTTAAGCAAAAACTTATTTGTATCTCTTTTGCAATTCGTATACCCACAGCCTAGGAAATTTCCTGGAAGAAAATTATTTGGGTCCCAGCTCATTACCAGGCTCATCCTTACGATCCCACTTTTATTGGTGAGGAAGTAGTGATGTGAGGGCATTTGGTAGCTTCAAGGTTAAGCTGTTAGCATTAGAGGCAGCCAGACATCCCACCCGTCAAAGCCCTGCCAGAGCTCTTCCCCACTCCATCCTCCGTCTCTTACCTCAGCATCCCTATCTGTGGGTTGTCCATAAATAAGGTCCTGCTTTAAGTAGGAATAGGAGACCTTCTAGAAACTGGATTTTCACTTCAGTTTTGCCACTAATAAGTGTGCTGGAAATACTGAAACCCTCCCAGGAATTAGTCCCCTCAGCTATCACACGATGGTTAGATGGGAAGTAGAACCTTTCCTGCTCAATCGTGTTTCATTTAGTTTGATGTCAAATACAATTTTAGACATTCAAACATTTCATTCATTTGCTAGCTATGATCCGATCCTTTCATTGTAGGTTCTCAAACTGCTGTCGCCTACCCCCAGTCCTTCCTGCTTCCTGGTCTACCAACAGCCTTCCTCTACTTCCTCCTCACACAATTCCATCTCATGGTGGTGAGGACCTGGTAGTCCTTGCTCATGTTTCTCCTGGGATGTACTAACAAGACTTTTTTTTTCCTTCACAATTCTACCCACATCGGTAGTTCCATTTTATGCTGTCATTTATCACTAGAATGGGAGATGGGGCATTGACAATATAGAGCATTGCATCTGACTGAAACTGGCCACGAGACTGTACTTTTGCCAGAGCTATGGGTGTGGAAGTGACTAATTATAAACAGTGTGCTGTTACATTGCCCACACCCGTTCAGCCAGAGCAGGCTGCATGGCCAGAACCAACATGTACGCGGTTACGAGACACTGACTCTCATAGGAGTCAGAGACAGGAGTGAATCTTGAGTTCACCCTGACAAAGCAGAGAGGGAGCAAGGAATTCAAACGGCATATGTGTCACAGGCAGAGAGACTGATTGCACTCGGGGAAGGTGGGCTGTGAACACTGCCTCCATTGTAAATGGCATGTTACGTTTTCTTTCTGTCTGCTTCCACCGTTTTGATTACCAACAGCAGCCCCCAGGCTGATGTCATAGGTTAGCATCAGCAAAGTGCAGCTCATCCGTTGAATGGTTGAGGAAAGCACAGACTTTTAAAGGTAAGCCACCTTCCCCTTTGTGTTTCTGTGCTGTATGTCCTATTAACCATGATCACCTGTCAAATTAACCTTCGTGTGTCTATGTGATCAATCACGGGGCCAATGTACCACTGAGAAACATAACAACTCATAATAAATAGTTAATGTCAGATAAATAATGTTAAAGGGAAAGATAGTTGATTAAACTGATGACTCTTAGTGTTTCAGAAAGATTATTCAATGAAAATCTAACACTCCTTGAAAATCCATTTGTACTAGAAACTAACGGTCAGTTGATTATGCTGACACATTTACTTGTTTCAAGTTACTGTTTTTTTTGTTTACTCAGCTGAATAATATGGGTATGGATGCTCTAAATAAAAATAGATATGTATATCTCTTATAAATCATTTGTTTTTATATTATTGAAGCTTTTTTAAAAAATCTCATAAAATTGTTACTTACTCTTTTTTTAAAAAATTTGAATTTGTCCTCTGTCCTTAGTTTGTCAAACTTCTGAGATAACAGTCTTGTGTAACTTGTTTCTGCCCATGTTCCCTTTCTCTCCTAATCATCCTTGTCAAAATTATCACACATCCTGGTTTATCTTGCATGTTTTCTTCATAGGTTATTGTCTGGTTAGATATTAGGCATCAGAAATTGGCTCTTTAAAATGAAAATCAAAGCTGGGCAGTGGTGGCACACACCTTTAATCCCAGCACTCTGGAGGCAGAGGCAGGCGGATCTCTGTGAGTTTGAGGCCAGCCTGGTCTACAGAAAGAGTTTCAGGATAGCCAAAGCTATACAGAGAAACCCTGTCTTACAAACAAACAAGAACAAAAATCAACTCCAAAATTAAATTAATTTTTATTGCTTCTACTTAAAGTTCCTCTGTATAAAGAGTGGATTGGATTGCATGCCTCACTTCATTAATGTGGTGTTGGTTACACACTGCAAGTATGTGAGTGTGTTTGCATGTGTGTTCACATAGTATGTACACACATGTGCGTGCGTTTTAGCTGGGAATACAAGCCTTTGCTACTGTGTGAGTTCATCACTCTTTTGTACCACTATTCATACTGCAATAATAAACTTAGTCTCACCAGACAATATGCTTTGAATGTCTTACCTGGGGTGCTGTACAATGCATTTTGTGATGTATATTGTGTATTATATAGTTACATGAATCCATGCTACCTTCACCCAAAGCCAGCATTTACTCCAAGCCAAAGTGCAGAGTGCAGGGATCTAAATGAGGGATCTAGTTAGTACTTATAGACCTGAGAAGTGAGACAGTGTAGTGTGAACCCTCCATAGGTTTCCTCTTTTCTTAACAGCGACAGAATGTCCTGGGAGGAAGGATGAGTCTTTCCACAGTCACTAAAGCCACATGAGCTTCCAGTCTTCACAGTGATGGTTTCCTTCCTGGGTTGCCTGTGGAGGTGCTCTGAAGTTCTTTTAGGCATTAGCTTTTCCCCTGCCTCTTGAGAACAGGAGTTAGGGACACCACAATACGTGACTCTAACTCCAAGCTGAGGTGACCAACTGGCTATATATTCTGCAGACATCAGGTATCAAGGGCTTCAAGTGGACCAAGGCTCATCTGGAGGTCCTGTGCCCTTGTAAAGAAAATACCCGAGTTCACTTTCCAGACAAACACCCTACATTTGCAGAGGTGACAGGGAATTCCTGATGTCCTGGACTCTGATTTTTTTGAGTGGCTGGATGTGTTTGGGGGGGGGGGGCACAGCCTCCAGATGACAACCGTAGAAACACTGTGACCTCTGTCATTTTCACTCGGAAGTCTGATTAAAACTCAACGAACCGAACTGAACAAGCAAACACAAATCAAACCCTTAAGTGTTCTCAACTTCTCTGTCTCTTAAAATGCTACTCCTATAAGGGAAGCATGCCACCTTGCAGCCCTTTGTGTGCTGAGTTATTCTCAGCTCGGGTTACTTGTGAGTCAGGTTCTCAGCTGGCAGAGGCTGTCAGCTGGCTTTGGAGCGGGGCCAGAGCTCCTCTCTTACAGGATTATGTATAATAAACACCCTATTGCATGGCCAGTGATCCCCCTTGCAAAAAGACACTGAGCCCAAGTTTTTAATGTCCACCTGGTTGCTCCGGGTTTTGCCGAGGTTGCTTACCAGGAACTCACAGTGGACCAGGAACGTGAGTGCCTCAGAGCCCCGCCTTTCGTTGATCCAATCTTGTATTTTCCAAACTGCGTTCCAGTAGAGCACTAATGGCTTACAATCTGTTTTGCTCAGCAGATGTTTAAATGGATCCCATGACCAGATAAATTTGGGGAGATTCCATTTGCTAGGTTTAGGGGCTTATTTTTTTTTTCACTAAGGAGCATCTCAAGTTCTTCAGGAGACTGGCATAGATTATGATGCACCAGGGGCTAAAGCATGTAGCTTTTTTAACTCTGACATCCTTTTTTTGCAGAACATGTGTTGCTATCTTAAGACTTCCTGTCAGAGAGCATGTGTTAGTTCAGGTGTTCAACTGCCTGGCTTCCAACCACTGTGTTCTCCGCTCCTGATCTTAGGAACGTGAGACTGCCATTCCTTCTCTGGGCTTTAGTTTCCCCCCTTAAAATGGGAGCACTGCTGTTTCCCAACTCTAGGTTATGTTAAAATTTGAGACAGCCCTACTGTCCTCCTGATATAGTTTAGGTAAGAACCAATTGGCTGACTATTTGGAAAGTGAGAAGCATCAGCCCCAAATGGGTCGCTCATGCAGCTTTCCCTCATCATTAGACTGACGCATGCCAGTAAGCACAGTGCAGGAAGAGTCTGTCCCTAGAAATAAGGCACAGCCGCAGACCTAGAAGAACAAATGCATCCGTGACTTGGCTTGGGTGTGACACTGTGGAGCAGTAGAGCTAAGAACTCGTGCCTCAGTTCCCCTGCCCCTCCTCTGATTTTATTGCGAATAGGCGCAAACTGCACAGCCTGGGTTGGCAAACAGGTCTGTGGAGAACAGGGAAGAGCTAGCAGGCCAACCTTTTGGCAGTGAGGGCATATGCTTGCAGACCCCAAAAGAGTAATTGGAAAAAGCCCTTTTCAAGGACAGCAGACTCGAGATATATAAACTAGAAAGTGAAGTCAGAATACGGAGACTGCCTTGTGGAGTTCCTAAACTTGCCGATGCCGTTGTGCGTCGTCCGCCTGCTGTGTCATTGACGCTCTTCCCTGTGTTCACGTAGGCATCACCTCCGAAGGCTTTCCCTGTGACAGCTTCAATGAGCAGACAGCTAACGATCTTCCCAATAAGGATGGAGGTGCTTGGGTCCTGGGTTACAGAGCCGGACCACCCTGCCCATTTGTGCTCCATGAAGAAAGAGAAAAGTCAAATAGAAGTGAACTATACTTGGATCTCAATGTAAGTGGAAATCTTCGTGCTCGATCCGTGGTTCTTTGTGGTCAGCAGAGGCTTATTTCATATGTACTTCATGTAAACTGCATATGTAACGTTGCTGAAGCTGTATTCTGTATGTGGATCATTATTTGAAAAAAAAAAAGGCAATGGGCTGCAACAAACCAAGGCGATCTGAAATCTGTGCACTAGAAGATGACCTGGTCAATAGTTTCTTGCCAGAGTACTCTGTCTCATTAGCTCTGATGCCTAAACCTCCCTGTGGGAAGAAACCCATTTGCCACTAGTGGCTTAATATCATTGTACTAAAACTCTGCGAGCAACATATGCCAACTGGCAGATATGCTCTGCGTTTTCCAGTGAAACCCGAGTCACCTGTCTTCATTGCATGTCTATAAACCTTTCTTTCTCTCCAGCTGCTCAAATAACAGCCCAACAAGTCGGTGGGAAGCCTGCCAAATACAGGACAAGCCATTTAAAAACATAGACTTCTCCTTTCTCATTCTCCCGCGTCCAGTGACACAGAAACATTGCTCCCCAGCACAAAGCATTGGGTGGGCTTTGCCACTTCAGTATTAGCCGGCCTGATAGAGCTGCCCAAACCATCCATTCCCTTTCTTATTGCCCTCCTTTCCTGTGGTTTCCTGTGGCTTTTTCTATTTTGCAGGGTTTTTTTTTTTATTCCTTTTGACAATCTCTTGTTCTCTGCTTTGTTATATTCTGATCAGAAACTACGTGTGTGGTGAGTGTGGGTTAGGCCTACGGTCATCTTGGTAACCCTGTGACTTTCCACAGGGGTGTATTAGATCCGCATTTTTAGATGGGTGGTAACCATTGACTAGAACTTTTTTTTTTCCAGAACCATATAATAATAGTCACTGAAGTCATTTCAGAAAAGCATTTGACTTAAAAAGAGAAAAATATTTTAATAAAAAGAGATTTCAGGGTTTGGAGAACTGTCTCCGTGGTTAAATACTTGCTGCTCTTGCAGAGGACATGAGTTCAATTCCTAGTTTCCACATGACAGCTCACAACAACCTACTACAGCTTTAAAGTAGCTAACATTCTTCCAAAGGTACCTGCGAGCAAAACTCCCTCCTTCTCTCTCTCTCTCTCTCTCTCTCTCTCTCTCTCTCTCTCTCACACACACACACACACACACACACACACACACACGTGAGGGGGAGGAATGGAGGGAGAGGGTGAAATAAAGATAGAGAGAGAAAGAGAAAGAGAGATTTGGAATAAAGTCGAAAGGGAACAAATTGACAGTTGTTGAAGAGATTTGTACAGTCTCTTCCAGATGCTCCTTCCTTGCAAAGTAAAAGCTGGGATGCACTCAGCTTAAGTGCAACAGTGACATCTACGGGCCAGTTATTTTCATCTGCATGGGATGCAAACTGCAGGCAGCCTGGAGAATAGCAGTGTTCAAATGCACTTTGAAACGCCTTTTTCCTTTCATGATTGTAGTTTGTTTTTTTGAAAATATAATAAACCATGTAATCCTGGTTTTCTTTCTTGTATGTGAATGAAATTATGTCTTTGCTTAATTTATTACAATTACAGGAATCATACATAGTCCTTGGAAACTACTTGAAACTGCTTGCAGGGAGCAGAATCAATTCATTATCTCAGCACAAGAACAGCGCTGTGAAAGACTGATAATTTTTCTTTTACTTTTCATGGTTCATGACATGTTTTCAGTGAGGATTTTTTTTAAAGCAAGCATGCTAGATTTTACAATATTCTTCATGGCTTACCCATGCTGTTTTAAATTCTTAAGAGATATGCTTTAAGTGATTGTATCATATCAAAGGTATGCCTGAATTTGATCATTTTATCATTATTGAATATTTAATTTGCTTTCAATTTTGGAACAGTATTTATTTGTGCCCCTCAGCATTTAGAACTCTTTCCTTGTGATAAATATCTATTTTCTGTAAGTATTCTAGGGCTTTTGATAGATATCATTACCTAGAAAGGAAGCTCTTTTTCTAAAAATATGTACTAAAATATATTTGCATACTGTATATGTAGAAATGTAATAAATATAAAACGTAACTTTTAATAACTTTTAGTCATAACTTTTTAAAAGTGAGAACAGTTTCTTAAGGTTATGCAGGCCAGCACTTCTTACCCTCTGGACTCTGGGTTTCCTCTCTCCTTTTTAGGTTTTTCTCCCTTCTTCGTGTACTGTGGCTTGAGTCTTGTAAGTTTGATGTTGTTATTCCAAGTGAGCCTTCCACATGAAATATTCTACTTAGAAAATGTGTGTGCACCCTATCAAGAAGAAATGCACGAGGAAAGAGAGGCTTAGGTTTAGATACTGTGTTCCTCAGCTTCCCGTCAAGGTAGCTAACGTAAATCAAGCTTACTTCCTGCTGTGGTTTCCCAGATGCCAGGTGATCAGCTGGCTCCATTACGTTAGGTGTGAGATCAGGTAGACTATTATGGCAGGGGATACATGGTAAGGTCAGGTTGTTCACCTACTGACATTAGTCAGTAGGCATAGGGAGGTAGGCATGGAGTCATGCAGGCACAGTGTCTTAGTCAGTGTCATTGCTGCTGTGATGGAATATCATGACCCGAGGCAACGTGGGGAGGAAATGGTTTATTTCATGCATAGTTACATAAAATAGTTCATTGTCAAAAGCAGTGAGAGCAGGGACTCTAACTGGGCAGGAACCTGGAGGGAGGAGCAGATGCAAAGGCCATGGAGGGGTGCTGCTTACAAGCTTGCTCCTCATGGCTTGCTGAGCATACTTTCTTATAAAATCGAGGACCACCAGCCCAGGGATGGCGCCACCCATGATGGCCTGGATCCTTCCCAATAAATCACTAACTAGGAAAATGCCCTATAGACTTGCCTACCGCCTGATCTTATGGGGACATTTTCTTAAATTGAGGTTCCCTCCTCGCTGATGATTCTAGCTTATATCAATTTGACCTAAAACTAGCCAGTACACACAGGGACAAAATATCCCGAGGCATACCCCCAGTGACCAGCTTCCTTTAGCTAAGCCCCAACTCGTTTAAGTTTCTACCACCATTAAGCTATGAGCCTTAGAATAGATTAATCCATTGACAGAGTTAGGACCTGCTTGGTCCAGTCACCTCTCCAAGTCCCTTCTGAGCACTGCTTCATAAGGGACCGAGGCTTCATCTCATGAACTTTGGGTAGTGCATGTCAGATACAAGTCGTCACAAAACTTAGGGACATGGAGGGAAATCTATCCCCAGGAAATAGTTTGATCAACATTAGACATTAGACCAGCACTGTTCTGCTTTCACATTTAAACATGATTTCTAGTTCCACCCTTAGACTGTGAGCTTCCTAAACCTTTTCCTACAGCTATGCTGTCTCTCAGTAATACATAAAAATGGTCACTGGAACACTGAATAACTGTTGGAAGTTTAGCACCCATAAATCATAGGCGAGCCTGGCATTGGTCTGGGTTGCTAGAGTCCTCCCATTCAGCTGGATAGTCATTGTTTAGTTACAAGAAGATCTAGGATGCTAAGTGTCTTCATTTCCTTTCCATGGCTGTGGTAACATACTATGACCAAAAACATCTTGGGGAGAAAGAGGTTTATAGTTTGGCTTTCATATGCCAATCACAGTCTATCACTGAAGGAAGTCAGAGCAGAAACTCAAGGAAGCCAGAGGCAGGAACTTAAGTAGAATCCACGGAGGGCTTCTTAGTTCCTTTTTCCACCTGCTTTCTTATTACTACCTGCCCAGGGGCAACAAAACCCACCTGGGCCCTCCCATGTCAATCATTAACCAAGAAAATATCCCACAGGATTTTCTACAGGGCATCTGATGGAGGCACTTTTTTTTTTTCCAGTTGAGGTTTGTTTTACTGAGGGTTACTATTGCTGTGATGTAAACACCAAGGCCATGGCGACTCTTATAAAGGAAAACATTTAACTGGGACTTCCTTACTGTTTGAGAAGTTTAGTCTATTGCCACCATGGCCGGAAGCATAGTGGCATGCAGGCTGGGATGGTCCTGGAGAAGGAGTTGAGAGTTCTGGATCAGGGTCCACAGGCGACCGAAAAAGAGAGAGCCGCTGGGCCTGGCTTGATCTTCTGAAACCCCAAAACCCACCCTAAGTGACAAACTTCCTCCAGCAAGGCCACCTCTCCTAATCTTTCAAACAGTGCCAATCCCTGGTGACATAGCTTTCAAATCTATGAGCTTGTTGGGGCCATTCTTATTCAAACTACCATGAGGTTCCTCTTCTCAGATGACTCCTGCTGTGTCAGGTGAACAAAACAGTAGCTAACACAGTGAGGAAATGCACAACAGAGTCGAATTACCAAACTAAAGGAATTAAAACAAAGGGTTTGTTTTTTTTTTTAAAGGGTGATCTCTTCTGCCTCCCTTTCAGTGTTTCAATGGAAAAGAAAACTGTGACATTATAGCTTAAAAAAGAAAAAAAAAACCCACACTGCTATGAAAATATGAAACATTTAGACTAAGATGGATCCAGTATAAAACCTGATTTTGCTATTCCTTGGGTATCTAATCTCAGACTTGACCTAATTCCTTTGAAATGCCCTATAACATCTATAAGAGTGCTCACTACATGGGACTATTTAAATGAACTACAATGAAGTTCTTTTTAAAACTTTATTTTTTAGTCACTGGCCATGTCGTAGGTGTGTAGAGACCATCTGAGTGGGGCTCCTGTTGACTGGTCCAGAGGGCACAAGATACAATGCTTCCTGCGGTGAACATACTTGCATTGGGCAGAGTTTATCTTTAAAAATGAGGCTAATGATACCTTTCTCATAGTTCTATGGGCCAAATTTAGGCATAAGAAAAAAATTAAATAAAGAGCCTGTCATGCATACTGCTTACGTTGTACATCAGTGGCATTCAGAAGAAACTCCTGGTTGTCCCTGAGCAGACTGTACAAGGCTTTTCAAGACTGGTGAGGTTCACCCCAGCTAGCATACCCATCTCCAACCAGGGTTTCTGCCCTGACTTCCCTCAGTGA